CTGGATTTTTTGGTTATCCTAGGTAATTTACACTATGTATAGTTGTATTTATGTGTACCTGTGAGACAGAGATAGACAGAGAGAGAGAAAGAGAGACAGATTGAAAGAGATAGAATGAGGAGAAAGATAATTAGATAGAATGGAGGGGAAGCAGCATCCGACCCCATTGTTTTGACAGCGGTAGGGGAGTGAGTAATGAGACAATATGTCATTTTGACAGCTGCCGACTCCTGACTCAAAACAATTATAGCCACACACTCACACACAAGACAAGCTTGCTGAAGGGTGATAATAGCATTTTTAATGAAAGTATCTAGTGACTAATATGTGTATAAATATTATAGAAACCAGAAGCAAGAAGGGAAGGCAAGAATGAAGGAAGGACTAGAGTGAAAGGAAGGAAAAAAGTAATGAAGGACAGATGAAGGAATGTAGGAAGAGACGTGGAATGCCCTCCAGGTAGGAAAGGAATGAAGGAAATTAGGAAGGAATGATGACACACGACCATTTACCTAGGATAATCATACATAACAACAACTGCCTGCTAATACTTTGAAGAAAACTGCTCAGACGAGTGTTTTTGTCTTTGCACATAAAAAAAAAATTCAAAAAAAATGCACACACACTGATTTTATGTGTGAGAGTGAAAAACACCATTGTGTATAAAACACCAGGGTATTTATGTGTAAGATGAAAAAACACCACTGTGTATGACACCAGTTTTATGTGTGAGGAGTGAAAAAACACCACTGTGTATGCACCATTTTTTAAAGGTGAGGAGTGTAAAACCCCACTGTGAAAGACACCATGTTTTATGTGTAAGAGGTAAAACACCACTGTGAAATGACACCATGATTTATGTGTAAGAGTGTAAAACCCCCCACTGTGATGACACCCATGTTTTATGTGTTAAGAGTGTAAAACACCACTGTGTATGACACCATTTTCACAGAGTTCCACAAGCTGCAGAACTTCTAGGAGTATGTTCAGTGACTGAATTGGTATATATATTATAGAAAAATAGTAAAAAACAATTTTTTGTATTGTTGTTTTTTGTAAACAAGTTTGTAAACAATATATTGAAAATTTAAATGATTGTGTGCTTATTGTGTTGTATACAACGAGTGTATATATGTACATTGCACCTTACTTTGGTCTCACAGGCCACATAAGTTATGTGAAAAAAAAAAATAGTGAAAAAAACAACAACCTCAAATTACAAGTAAACTAAAGTTTACCGGGTGAGGGGGCAGTCGCCGCTGTTGCCATACGCGGCTCAATTTTTTGCAAACTTCACGCCTCTATATCTCGGTAAGTACTGATGGGAAATTTTTTTTTTGGGACAAAACAATCAGAAAAATAATCTTTAAAATTTCATAAGAAAAAATAATTTTTTTTTTTTCGAATATTTTGCGACACCAGGAGACACTTCAGGATTGGGCCCTTCGACAGTCAAAGGGTTAAACAAGTAGTTTATAAAGTTGTATTTCTTTTTGTAACAGTAAAATAAGGTATAGTAGAATTGTGGTAACAAGAGAATTGTGCTTGGCAAAAGTCTTTTGTTTTGGTGGGAGGAGTTTAGCTAGGCTCCTCCCTCTCCCCTTCCCTCTCTCTCTCTCTCTCTCTCTCTCTCTCTTCTCTTGTTGACATGGAGGTGGCAAGATCTCTGGGTCCTTCTTTCTATCTTTTGGGCATTATGTGTGTCCCAGAGGAGAGTTTTTTATAACTTAAGTTGTGGCCAAACCCTACTCAGGGTGACTAAAGTCTGTCAAAACACTGGTTAGCCCAGAGTTATGTCAAGAAGAGAGAAGGACAAAAAGTTGTTGGGATACACCATGTGGAGAACAGCTACGGAGTGTGTAGATCTTTGTTTTGAAAATGTGAGGCTGTAATTGTATATTCTGTACATATCTATTGAGAATACAGTTATATTTTTATAGTAGTAGTTTACATAACCTGTGAAGAGGGCTGGTGAAAGGATATCAGAGACACTCAGGATGATCAGCCATAATGTAAGTATTACCCCTAGACAGATAAGGCCATTAAGTAAAAAGCTACCCCACACTAGAACATGTAGTGGGAACCTTACTATCAAAGTAATAAGGGACAAACCAACGTAACAGTCACAGAACTTCAGGAGGATTCAGACAAACTCAATTCATGGTCAGAAAAGTGGCAGATGCAGTTCAATGTAGATAAATGCAAGGTTCTGAAGCTCAGGAGTGTCTATAACCCTAGCACATGTAAGTTAAATAACGTAGAGATAAGCCATACAGATTGCAAAGAAGACTTGGGGGTTATGGTAAGCAGCAACCTTAAACCAAGACAGCAGTGCCTAAGCATACGTAATGAGGCAAACAGATTACCGAGATTTATATCAAGAAGTGTAAGCAACATTAGTTCAGCGGTTATTTTACAGGTTTATACATCATTAGTAAGGCCTCAACTAGAGTACACAGCTCAGTTCTGGTCTCCATATTACAGAATGGATATAAATTCGTTAAAAACATCCAGCATAGAATGACTAAATTAATACACAGCATTAGAAATCTTCCTTACGAAGAACGATTGAAGATTCTTCAACTATATTCACTTGTAAGACGAAGAATGAGGGGAGACATGATTGAAGTGTATAAGTGGAAGATGGGTATTAACAAAGGGGATATAAATAAGGTTTTGAGGATATTCCTCAAAGAAAGAACCCATAATAATGGATTCAAATTAGACAAGTTTAGATTTCGAAAAGATAGAGGAAAGTACTGGTTTGGTAACAGGGTAGTTGATGAGTGGAACAGACTGCCTAGTAGGGTTATTGAAGCTAAAACCTTGGGTAGTTTCAAATTTAGGTTGGATAATACATGAGTAAGGGTTGAGGATATGGCTCACAAAGACCTAATTGTTTGGGTTTAAATTTGTTCAAGTTTGGATTTGGAAAAGCCTAGAGGGCCATCTGGCTTTGAAAGGGTTCTTTTATGATGAACATACTTGCCTAAAGGTTTTCAAGCTTCAAGCAAAACTTTGAAAAGTTCAAATTTAGGCATCATAAATACATCAGTGATGGGGGGAAGTGGGGCTTGCATGCTTTTCTTGAGTTCTTCGTGTTTTAATCATTTACAAAAGGGCCGGGCCTAGTATGGGCCCATGGGCCCTTATTGCAGTGTTTCCTCTTTTTTTTATTTTCTATGTAATCATACTTGCCCACCAATTCAGGTGCCCCAAAAAGAAAAGCTTTCACCATTCATTCACCCCATGCCCCAAGTGTTTCACTCAAAATGCAACTTTCACCCTCCTTAGGGGGCACGTACCCCTCTCCTGGTAAGTGCTCCCTTTCTTGAATTCTAATTCGTGTTTCAACACCTCTTAAAAGACCATTTGGTCTTCTTCTTAAAACGCCACGGTGCCATTTGCAGTTGCAAGCACTAAAACGAATGGATTATGAAATGTATCGTATGAATGCATGGGATTGTGCTCACTGGCTGATAAACAATGACACACTGTAAATGGTGTGTTGAGCCGCTCAGATGTGTTCGGGACGAATGACTATTACCAAGCTAAATGATGATCACCGAGCCAATATTTTGAAGAAAATACTTTACTACAGTGGTCCCTCAATAATCGTCCGGCCTGAAAGTCGTCCATTTAGGAAATAGTCCTGCTTTCTTGTCAAAATATTGGCTCGCAAATGGCCCGGTAACTCGCTAATAGTCCTTTGTCCCAGATGCGTACTCACACTCTGAGCTGCCTCGGCCTTTCCTTCCCAGCCAGTGTGCCATTGTTTACCAGTGAGCGACGGTCCCCTCACGTGCTCCAGCGAAATATTACATAATATTCCATTTGTGTATTTTGGTGCTTGAAAGTTATTTAAGTGCTAAATAAGTTACCATGGCTCCAAAGAAAGCTCCTAGTGCCAAGCCTTTGGTAAAGAAGGTGAGAAATACGATTGAATTTAAGAAAAACATCATTGAACAATATGATAGTGGCGTACGTGTGAGTGAACTGGCCAGGATGTATAACAAATCCCGTACAATCATATCTTCCATCATAACCAAGAAAAAGGAACTCAAGGATGCTGTTGTTGCAAAGGGGGTAAATATGCTGACAAAAATGAGATCACCAGTACTTGAAGATGTTGAGAAGTTATTATTGGTGTGAATAAATGAGAAACAATTAGCAGGAGATAGTCTTACAACGTCGCTTATTTGTGAAAAGGCTAGGCAGTTGCATGACAATTTGGTAAAGAAATTGCCTGCAACTAGTGGTGATGTGAGTGAATTTAAGGCCAGCAAAGTTTTAAAGAGACGCCAGAAACAGAGCTCTCTGGACAGTTTTTTGCGAGACAGGACTCCGGTGACTCTCAAGGTGGTCCTAATGGCATTAAGAAACAGAGAAGAGAAGTAACCCCAGAAAAGCAATTGGTACCCGAGGTGTTGATGGAAGGGGATTCCCCTTCCAAACAGTAAATCATCCAATCTGTCTCCTTCTCCAGTCTTCTATACACATAGAAGAATCGCCAATAAAGGTAAGTGTTATTCTGTTAATGTTTAATTCATCATGTGCCACTGTATTGTTTATGTACTACATCTATATTTCATGTAAAAAAAATTTTTGTTTTAATACTTCTGGGTGTCAGGAACGGATTAATTAAATTTACATTATTTCTTATGGGGAAAATTGATTCGTAAATCGTCCATTTCGATAATAGTCCCACTTCCAGGAACGGATTATGGACGATTATTGAGGGACCACTGTATTACTGAATATTACGAAATCCAGCAACTACAAAATCCGGGGGTCCACCGTACCTCCAAGCCTCAGAAACAGCAAATATATAAAAATCTAGGTTTATAAACCCAGAACTTATACTTAAGTAAACATTGTACATACACATGGTCAGTACAGTAACAAGAAGAAAGTTTTACAGTTACTTGGGAGTATAATTTATGTTGTCAAATATACATATAAGAATGGTAGTTTTTTTACACATTCAAGAGCTTACTCACGTGCCAGACTTGAATTCAGATGTAACTGAAGGGCGAATGCAGTTTGGTGGAACCAGAAGGCGTGTAAGAATGAGATGCTTAGGATGTGAGAACTGCTGATTTATGCACAGCAATGGTAGGTCAACAAGGGGGATCTGAAACACCAATAATGTGATAACTAATGATCCATGAACAATAAGGGCAAGTCAGTAAAGGGGATCTGAAACACTAATAATGAAAGAGTAAAACACAGTTAAAACAAATTCAGCAGCATTTATTACCAATTAAGAAAAATAGGAATGACTTTCCTATACAAAAACTCATCTCTCAAAAATGGTGTTCATTCAACTGGTTTGGAACCACCATACAAAGTGTGACTATATATACGAGAAAACCAAAATGAAAAATTAAGAGATGAGGATAATGCAGTACCATTCATTGACAACTGGGACCACTTCTGTGGCCAAAATGACATTTATGCCAGGGATGGGGTTCACTTATCCAGGGAAGGTGTGGGTTTTCTTACTAGCTCAGTTGAGGGGGTTGTTAGGACTTTAAACTAGGATTAGTTAGAGTTATGGGTTTAGAAATGAAAAATAATGAGTATGGATATACTGACTTAGGCTTTCATATTATGAATCTTAATAACAACAATCATGGGGTAACGCTGGGTAATGATAATTTCAGAAATTGTGTAAATGCAAAGGTGAATAGGAAAAATGTGCAGAAGAAAAAATATATGATGGGATTTTATGCTAACAGTCGAAGTGCAAGAAATAAGATTAATGAACTATGTTTGGTAGCGTGTGCTGGGAATTTTGATGTCATTGCATCAACTGAATCGTGATACAATTTAAAGAATCGGGATATGATTGCTGAGTGTAATGTTGTAGGGTTTAAGTTGTTCCATGTGGATAGATGTAATGGGAAGGGGGGAGGAGTTGGATTATATGCTCGAGAAAATATTAACTGTTGCATAAAAACAGGTATAAAAATAGATGGAATAGTAACAGAATCTGTTTGGGTAGAGTTTGTAGAAGGTCAACAAAAACTAATTCTAGGTGTAATATACTGACCTCCAGGCTTGGATCATGATAGAGGGAGACTTCTTTGGGACAAAACTGTTAGGGCTTCTAGACACAATAACGTAGTGATAGTAGGGGATTTTAACTTTAGTCAAATTGACTGGAATTCTTTGACCGGTAGTCTGGAGTCCAGTGGCTTTATGGAAACAATTCAAGACTGTTTTCTGAAGCATTGTGTAACAGAGCCTACCAGGGGTAATAATTTGCTCGACCAAGTCTTGGCAAATAAGGAAACATTTGTAAATAATTTGGAGATCACTGAAGAGCTTGGCACAAGTGATCACAAATCCATCACTTTTAGCATTAACCCTTTGAGGGTTTTGGTCGTACTAGTACGTCTTACGCGTAGGGGTTTTTGACGTACTAGTACTCATAAATTCTAGCGGCCTCAAATCTAGTGGGAGAAAGCTGGTAGGCCTTCATATGAAAAAATGGGTCTATGTGGTCAGTGTGCACAGTCTAAAAAAAATCCTGCAGCACACAGTGCATAATGAGAAAAAAAAACTTTGACCATTTTTTTTTAATAAATCAGCGACTTTGCAGTGTATTTTCGTATGGTATTTATTGTTGTATTCTAGTTTTCTTAGTCTCATTTTATAGAATGGAAGACATATTACATAAATTGAGATGATTTTGACTGGTTTTACAATGAAAGGTGCCCTGAAATTGAGCTCAAAGTAGCAGAAATTTTCGATTTTTACCAAACTTCAAAAGTAAACAAATCGTGCCAAGCGTGTAATACACGTCAACTGGTGAGTCTAATATTCTTTCACAAGTGCACCAATAATATTTATACCATTTTTTACACTAATGCAGTAGTCTGCATAACAGTAAATCTTATATTTTTTGTGAAAAAAAAAATTCAAAGTGGAAAGCAAAAGAATATAAGAGGGGCCTTGAGACGTGACTAATGACTAGAGGAAATGTCATTTTAGTGCCAGGAATGTCTTTCTTGTTAATTCTGGACCCTATTCGGAAATTGGCATCTTTTGAAATTTGTGTGAAATTGGCAAAATTGCTAAATTCTGACCACTGTACTGGATAGTTGAATTTCATAAATGGGTGGTTTCTTGCACCCATTCGATAGAAAAAATGGAGTTCTAGCGAAATATTCATGTTTTTTGTCGACTACTACAGTGAAATTGGCCGAAAATGGGGCTCAAAGTGGGCAAAATCGCCGATGCGTAAACGTCGCCGAGACCGCTAACTTTGCGAGAGCATAATTCCGTAAGTTTTCTATCAAATTTCAAACTTTTGGTGTCTTTATGATCGGGAAAAGATTCTCTATCTTTTCATAAGAGAAAATATTTTCTTTTTTTTTAAATTTGGCCGACCCTGAGAACGAGTTTCGGAGGGGGCCTGTCGACCCTCAAAGGGTTAATTGGGAATACAAGAATAATGATAATATGGTAAAAATCCCTGATTTTTGTTCTGTCAGTTATAGTGGACTTACGGAACACCTGTCTAATCTCGATTGGGGTTGTCTAGCTAATGATTTTATTGATGATGATCATACTTATGATTACGAAGGGATCTGCATTTATGATTTTTTTCTAAATAATGTACACCGTGCTCAGAGTATATACATTCCCCAGAGAGAAATCAGGTCTAATAATAATGATCCCAAATGGGTTAACAGGAGGCTAAAGCATCTATTAGAGGAGAAAAGGGGAATTTATAGGCACATCAGAAGAGGAGAGGTTAACCTTACTGACTTTTACAAAACTCGTCTTCTTAGTTTAAACTTCTCCCGTGGAATGGTAGTGTGTTAAGGTAGTATATCATTGTTAAGCAGATGGCCTGTTTACGGTTTTGTAACAATAAATTGTAATAACTAGGGATTACAAAACAAGTAACTAAAACTTAGAATCTTCACTAGTAGAGTTTGAGCTGAATATATGATTATATAATGTTAGGATTGGCATTAAATAAGGAGTTTAACTCTTGCACTTCTCTTGGTACATACCAGTATATTGATATGAATAAATCAACCTCATAAGGTCGAACTTTATACTAACTTCAATTATATTCAACTATAATGGTAATTAAGACTTATCCACAAAGTAACTTACAATGGTTACTAAGACTTAGCTGAACTAATACTTCAGAGTATACAAGAATTCGTAAGTGACAGACTTAGCCTCATTTCCATCCAGCATGACTTAGAATAGCTTAGACCACAAATTAACATACAAAGGCCAACAAGGCTTATTCAGTCAACTGAATGATTAATTCACCCGAGTATAAATAACTCGAAAGAGACAAACTTATGAAAGGGAAGTCAACTATGAAAGGAAAATGACCACCAGAGAGAACTTGACATGTCTCTTATGAGAGGTCAATGAGTGAGTGAGGTATGCTCCCTAGGCTAGGCAAACCCAGACTGGAAGTGAGAGTGCTAGTCAGAGAGAGAGTGGAGAACCTACTCTGAGTGAGTGCTGTGACCCTACTCAAAGCAAGTGCAGTGAACCTACTGACTGTACCAGTGAGCGGTAGACTGATGTCAGGTTGGTCACGTGACGTAGAGAGACAGGTCAGTAACTGAACTAGTAACTGGCACTAACTAGTGATTTCCCACTACATGAAAATAACAATATTAAAGCCTAACAAACAATACA